ACATGGTATCGTTATTTATCTTATTTAACACCCTTTACTTTATTTCAACAATGTAAAACTGAGAACTCCAGATGAATTGCTCTTGGCATCATTAAATAAGACTTTGAAGGCTTATCCATCCAGTGCAGATGAGCATGCTGAGGAATATAATGAACGTGGCTTTGAAGTAAACTTCTTTGTTTTTTTATTGGTTTTTTTGTTTTTTTTAAAGGGTTTGTATTGAACTTCTCAACCAGCACAAGTGCACACTTGGGGTGCAGGCTGAGCTACAGATAATTGCCAAAACAAAGGAGTAACTGAGGGATACAAAGTATACTGAAAGCAGATGTTTTCACACAGGTTTGGTTCCCAAGTTCATTAAGCAATTAACTTCCCATCATGCATAAAACTGCCAGGCAGGCCCAGTTGCCCATTACTTTGGCTACCACAGCTGGAAGAGTGACTTCTCAGGGACCTTGAGAGAATTGGTGATTGTGCTAAATTCCACAGTCCAGACTTAAATCATGAAGGTAACTCGGGAAAAAAAAAAAAAAAAAGTCTTACCTTCTCCATGCTTGTCTGTGAACTGAAAGGCCTGCACTAAGCGCAGGGTCTCGTCTACTGATCGGCCTACAGGGAGGTCATTGATGGTGATTTGCCTCAGGATCCCCTTGTCATCAATGATGAATAAACCTCTGAAACAGAAGGTAGTATTAAAAAAATCTGGAAAACAATGGGAAAACAAGAAACCTTGTTTGGCCTTTCCAACTAATTTGTCAAAATCTTATTTAGCACTTCACATGATAAAATGATAGAGGAAGGCTGCACTGATTAGGTGCACTGCTGATCTCACACATATCCTGTTAAGTTTAATCAGGAAGTTTGTCAGCATATTACAGGGTTCACATGGGACACAGCAGACGGAGTTTCCCCAACATTTCTTCCTACAGTTCTCTGAAATCAAACGAATATAAGATGATCAACCTACACTGGAGGACAACCATTTCTGAGGTAAGAATCTGGTGTGGCTGCCAACATTACATGGATTTCTTAAAGGCAGCAGAGCCTTGGCTCGTCACACAAGTCTTTGGGAGGGGTTATGTTCTTGGGCTCTGCTTTAGGTTTACCAGTGGCAATTCCAAACGGCGTACAACATTAATGTACCCATTAAGAAAAGAGGTCACCTATATAAAAGTACACCTTTTTCACTACAAGCTGTGATGTATAGTCCAACTATAACCCTCTGACTGTTCAGTAGGGGAGGGGGACTTCAACAACTGACAAATTCCCCGTCATATGATCAAAACTGTTTGAGTTACAGTTTTGTCTGAGATACAGTATTTTCTGAGAAGAATCACAGAAGCTTCAAGCACTTCCCAGCATATTCAGGGTCTCCTCTGCTAAAGCTGGCCTACTTGGTTCAAATTCAAATCCTTTCCTCCTCATATTGCTTCTTCCCCCAACTTTAAGCACCTCCTTGTTGTGCACAGCTTTGTTACAGAGCAATGGATAAAGGGAATTGCATGGATTGCACACAAAGTATCTTTTAGCTGGTCTAGATGGACCAATCGAACATTCATCCATCCATCTTCTACCTGCTTCTTCCAATTCAGTGTCACAGGGGAGTGGAAGCCCATTCTGGCAAGCAACGGACACAGAGCAGAGTACACCCTAGACAGGATGTCAGTCCATCACAGGGCAGACACGTACACAATCCCTCACACACGCACAGCTAAGGCCAATTTTACCAGAAGCTAATCTGAACTGTTAAGAGAAACCAGAGCACCCAGAGAAAACTCACAAGAATACAGAACTTTCAAACTGCACCCCAAGACTGCAACCCAACCCAGGGCACCAGCAGTGAGAGGCAGCAATGCAAACCACTGCACCATGGAGCAGCCCCTCAAACAAGCAACATATTAAATGTCATAGCAAAGGGGCTATAAAAAAAAAAATCAAAAATAAACCTTTGATGTTGGGAGACAACAGACCAAGGGATCTGAATCCATGATCCAGTACAGCCAAACAGTCTTCTGGCCAAAGTATGAATAATTTATGAGCCCAATTACTTTAGGAGTAGGAGTAATGTGCATGTCTTCCAGACCTGTTTATTCACCACTTCAAAGTACCAGTAACTACAAGGGTGGATCAGCAGACCACTGCAACAGAGGAAGAGACTACTCAAACCTCACTGTTACTCACCTGAAAGCAATGCCCTCGTCCTCCTTCAGCACCCCATAATCTTTGGAGATTGAGCGCAGCGTGTCAGCCACCAAGGGAATTTTCATGTGGCCCAGGCCTCCCTGTTTTCGAGGTGTGTTGATCCTACATCGGGCAAAAAAAAAAAAAAAAAAAAACTCAGATTGCCGTTGCAACACAAAGAAATCTGTAACCAATAGCAGATCTACTTTCTGAAAAGATTTCTCCAGTGATAGATTTTTTATTTTATTAATTGTCAGATACAGCCATGGAAGATTTTAACACCTAATAAGGATAAAACCACTTCTGTGCCCAATGAGGTCTACTTCTTTAAAGTGGGTTTAGAAAGGGAACAAACTAATGTCTACAGATTCCTTTCTGCATGAAGATCCTGGCAACACCGATTTGTTACATGGATCTGGAGTAGTAGGGTGTATCCCCGTTAGGCCAGCAAATGGGATATTCCAAGGAATGAGGCTCTGAAGGGAAGTGTCTGCAACATACCAGGCCAGGTGACAGAAGTGAGAATCCACCGAGGCACCAATGACCTCGCAGTTGATCTTCTTGAACTCCTCGGCGCTGTCGCTGAAGGCGATGATCTCGGTGGGGCACACGAAGGTGAAGTCCAGTGGGTAGAAGAAGAACACGACGTACTTCCCTGCAGACAGACAGCAGTCGGGAAGATTGGTCTCGGCTAGAGCAGCCAATTGGAGTACACAGCAGGCGATATCCACCCTCACAAAAGACCCCAATCCAAAGAAAGGCACTCTAACACTGATGCAGACAATAGGTGTATTTCTGTGTATAAAGGTAATGCAGTTAACTTTCTACAATTATACAGGCTTTACACACTATTTAAAATAGCAGAACGCTTTCAATAAGGAAAAAATCTTAAACACACACTATTGAAGAAGCTTAAATTAACTCGATGTTTTGACATTTTTCTCCATGATTTACCCTTTAAATAAGGGTTTCTAAAACTGGAAAATCTTTTAACTTACCTGCATTATAGGAGAAGACGTTACACACCTTATCATAGGATTATTTAATTCAGGTCATAGAAGACTGTTGTGTCTGTCTGGTTAGCTTAATTTAATAGCTTCTCCTAGTACCTTCTGCTTGAAGCAGACTAGATAACCTACACAGGTTCTCTCCAGGACCAATGCAGGACTGCACAGCCACAGGACTTTGAACTCTGGTTTATCCACCCCTATGACCTTGTGCTGGTCAGAAATGGAAACCAATCTATAACCACTTAATGCATTCCATATAATGTATTTCATTACTCTGCTCTCCTCCCCACTGATAGCTGATGTGTGGTGAGCATTCTGGCGCACTATGGCTGCCATTGCATCATCCAGGTGGATGCTGCATATTGGTGGTGGTGGAGGGGTGTCCCCATTATCTGTAAAGTGCTTTGAGTGGAGTGTCCAGAAAAGCACTATATAAATGTAAGTAATTATTATTCTTTGCTGGAAAATAGGGCTGAGTGCTCTACGCTTTCCACTAATAATAATAATCTGGTCAAATCATGTTGCAGATCAAATGAACTCATTCTCACTTACTATGAGAACTTGGAAAGTACCAATTTCTATAGCAGAGCACTGTACCAGACTGAGCCCGGGGGAGTACCTTGCTCAACTGGGACCTGAACCCATAGCTTGCCCAAGTCCAGATCCCTGACCACTTACCCTCTTCAGCACAAAACTGGAATTCACAAATCAAAAATAGTTTAATGACTTGTGCTTTCCCCATGCCCATAAAACATTCTAAAGAAAGCCTTAAAACCACTCACTTTGAGGAACCACTTTACCCACTGTGAGTAGCTGAATTGGGGAATCTGGATTTCTCAGATCTCCATTCAGAGCTCTTAGTCACATGAGCAGCTCTAAACTTTAGCCAACTCTTAACACTTTCTCCTCCCACTGCACTTTGGTCCACAAAAGTGCAAACAGCCTGTTGGAGCAGGCAGGCGATCTGGCCTGCTTCTGGTTGTCCATTTATCACAGCATCCCTCCATCCTCCGAGTCAGGACAGCTTAGGGCTCTTACCTCTGTAATCGGAGAGCTTGATCTCCTTGAACTGGCCGTCAGGCATCACTGCTGTTGCCTGGAAGTCAGGGGCAGGCTTCCCGATACGAGCATTTCCAGCCGACATCTTGAGCTTAGCTAGAAGGAAAAAGAAAATAGACTGGGGTGATCACAGAAAGATGCACCTGTCATTTGTGCCTAAAATAAAAGTGCCTACTGGTCCTATATACAACAGACGTTTGTATGCAGGTACTGTTGACTTCATAGTTGCATTTACTATTCTACCCACTGAAACTTTGAAAGGCTGGGTGTGATTTGGGTTGTGATAAGATGTATTGCAACATTTGCTTTCTCCCAGTAATAAGACCTTGATAAGTTACGAATAAAAATAATCTAGCAAATCAGCAAAGTTAAGGCAAATGCAAGGCACACAAATACATTCCTACTTCTCCGAGAATATTTACTTAAAAGATTTCAAATAATGGTCTTAAAAATATCTTCAAGCATTTCAAAAGACAGCAAAACGTGCTGCCAACGACTGTCCATACATTCATCAAGGACATCTAGAGCACTTGCAGGCTGATCGAGATCTATTTTTAGGACCCCAAAACAGTCTCCTACACCTGTTGAAGCTGCATGTTGGAAGAATCCTCTTGCTGGTACCCTCATTGGCCGTTACCTAGCAACAAGCCCGCTTTTAAAATTTCACTCTTCCTAGCCAATAGACCAACACTCCGCATATTAAACAAGCCAACGTCACTAATTTAGGGCTTCTTTAAAAAGAAATATGGCCGAGTTGTACTTTGACCACAAAATACCAGTTTAGTTAATGAATGTAGACAGATGCATATGTTCAGAACTGCTGGAAATTATAAACCAAATCAATAAATACATTGGATTGCATTGGAGTGTTAAGCGACAATTTTCCTCCACGATTTTAGGAACACGTACAAATATTAGGGTATAATGTTCGGAGTAAGTCTATACTCCGAATCAAGTCGGAGGATTCTACGATAAAGTTTGACAAAATTCAACGAATGATTGTATGCACAACTGAACATGACAAAAGGCTACGACTATCATTTAGAGCTAATCATGTTAAAACTAAATCCTGCTTTTGAACATACTGTATGTAAAACAATTTTGGTTAAAATTTACGGGAAAAAACGCAATCAATGTTTGCCAAACAACATTACTATATTTAGATGCAAATCAGGTTTTTGAGCTGTCTAAGCTTTTATGCAATTGAATAGATAATGAACGGATTTTAAGATGCTTTTTATAACTGTTCTCCTTATTTCATAGAGAGCTTAACATTACGTGCCCACTTTCGCAACGTTTTGTTGGTCAAGGACACCGATATAAATCTGTTGAAAATGCAGTTTATACTGTAGCTTTAAAGCAAGCATGCCAAAGTTCAAATATGAGTGCCGAAGGCAACTTGCACAATCAGCCTTTAGTGGAAGAATTTTCAGACTTCTCTTTACAGAAATAACCAAATGAATACTACAAAATTACCATATCAATGCACGGCTGAGGTTAAGAGAAACTCAAGTTCTCTAACCCACGAAACTATAGTCGTACAGAGATTATATTTTGCAAAATTAGAAACACAGGTGGTGGTGGAACCTGTCATCCCAGTTCAGTTTACCCGACCGCAAAGTCAGACAGAACCAGGTGAGAGGCGATTAAATTTAGGCTTCCTGCAGATGTGCAAGAAAGCCACTGTAAAATATGACAGATGCAGAGGCTTTGTATCGTTACTGTATAAACATCGACTCCCACTACAGAATAATGGGAAATACAAACGAATTTTAAGCATTTCTTAAAGTGTTATAGTTACCAAACAAAATCACGTAAAGAGTGTTTCAAGAGGATGTAAACCGTCTTTAGCCTAACCGTTTTCACAGATTAACAGAAGCTTGCGGGACTCAGTTTAACAGAGTCTGACAATGAACTTGAGAAACAGACTCCGTGCTGGAGAAATGTTAAATTAGATATACCTGCAGGTTACGGCAACAACCAACTTCAGAAGAGACAATCTTGGTCTCCAGTTCTCACACTAGCGAGATGAATTAATTTGCAAGGCTTTGCTACAACCTGTATATAAATACATCGAAAAACGTCCTTTGAAATACCAGCTTCAGAAATTTTGCCAAACGCTTTAATGTTTGCCCAAGTACCTGCAAACGGCTGTACTTCATTAGTCTTACTAAAATGTTCAAATTAATTCAGCCGTAAATTAATTACGACAGAATACAAAAACCTCAGATGGTGGATGATAGATACAAATTCTAGAAAAGTAATATTTTAACGAAATAAACTTCCATAACGCTTCAGAAAATAGATGCATTCCTTAAATCCAAATAAGCGAGTACTCACTGTAATACCGTAACCTTTCACCAGCACAGACCTTTCCGCAGAAGGAAGCAGTTGTAGAAAGAGCCTGTACCGACGTTCAAGTTTTTATACCCGCCTAGATATCGCGATGGTACAAGTAACCCGCCTCTTGCCACCAGCCTCTGACATCTTTTTCACAATATGCTTCTTTGTGTGCTGTTCTAGCATGACTTTGCAGTTTTCCAAGTTTTTACAAAGATACGAAGCATGTCGGTAGGACAGATAGAGCAAAACATTTCTTCTGGCTCTTTCTGCAAAAAACGGAAGAAAAATCGTATGTTTCTTTTTTTATCAGTAAAAGTATTGCTAATACTTTTATTGACAACTTCGTATGAGAGTTTCTCTGCATTGTGCATTTCTCGGGTCACTTACAGATCGCAGAAGGCATTGATTACATAAAACACTTTACGTTTTACGTAAATTACATAAAAGACTTAACGTATATTTCCCCCCTTAGGCTATTAACGGTGCTTATCTAGTATGTGTGTGAAAGGTCAATCAAGGGAACTTCAGTTTAAGTGTTGCAGTGTGACTGTCCACATCTAATTAGTATGGTAATAAAATTATCTAAATTTTGAATCCCGGATTTCTCATTACAATTATGAATTTTAGAACCTTGTTTTTATTCCGCGAACTCACCAGTGGAATAAAACACCGTGAACACGGGTTTTTATTGGAGACGCGATTTATTCAAATTTGTTTCATAAACAGCATTCTCTATTTTGCTGCGACTTGACTGGGTTAATTATCCAGTGGTAAAGTATCATTAAGTTTACTACTCATCATGGAAAACAGTTAAAAATGCGTTTAATATTTGAGTGATAGAATTTGATGTTTAAGAAACAGCGTCGGAATGCGAAACCATATGTATATCATAACATTTTCATGCTTTTTTACATCTATGTGAAATAAACTAAGCGTCCAGCAAAAGTAATTTATTTTGTCACGAAGGCTGCTTTGCCATTTTCTGTAGCTGTCGCAGCTGAATCGGAAAAAACGAGGATTTTTAGGGGTAGAAAAGAAAACAGGACACTGAGTTCAAACCCGGAAACGGAAATATCAAACAAAAGGAGACGCTCTCTGGAAAATGTAACATATTCAAATACACTGAGTAGTGAAGAAGAACTGCTGTTATTTAACAGACAGCTCCTGCAAACTCGTGAGTGACACATTTCTTATTGGGGTTAAACTAACTGCTTTACGTCTTAACATTTGCAGCACAGCGTTTAGTGTAGAAGTAGAAAATGCATCTTGCACTGCCTGTCTCATTTTGGTGCTCTGTCCTGAAACGTGTCCAGTCTTGTGTCAAGAGACCGGTGAGTAATTATTCCCAACTACAAGTCTTTCGAAAGGTAAGTGTGCATTATCGGGGTGAATATAGTAGGTATGCGATCAGAAAACAGGCAGCCAAGTTTTTAAGTAGTTAGGATGTATGTGAAACTGGGACAGTGAGAAACTATGTGAGAAACAGGTGATTCAAAAACATTTTCCTCGACGTAAATGTTGGCATAATTATGTTGCCAAAATGACAGGGCTGCAAAGAGAATTCACATACTTATTTGCGTGGGGTACGGTAACGGATGGGCAACATCATATTCGCAATTTAATATATAATCGCAAAAACGGCAGTAGAATATTAATATTATGCAAGTGGAAAAAACAGCACTTAATCTGCAAAAGGAAATAATCTGCAAAAGGAAAGCAAGAAATAAGTGCTGACGGCAGCTGTCTGTTGGGATTGTGGGTATCTGTAGGAACTCGCCTGATTTACAGCAGATTTCACTTCACTTAACCCTCTGAAGTCCGTTTCCAGCGCCGTCACATGACTGGTTTCTCCTCGTGACCCAGGGTAATTATTAAAGATAGCGAAGAGCGTTGTACTTTGGGTGCTGAGTTAATGTGCAATACGTAATGAGAATTCTTCTACTGACTTTTAAAAAAAAAAACATATTTTCCTCAAACCGGTGTGGTCGACTATTTAGTTCTGTTGATGTGCCTGTTTCCCATACTAATCAATTATCACAAAATAAAATATCTTCTTACATCAACAGGAATTAGTTTGATCGATTTAGCTAATGTCCTTATCAAACTCAACTTACCCCCCAAACAAATATTACACTATAAAATGATAACTTCTAACTATAACAATTAACAGTACAAAAGGCAGGTATCGATGAGTGGTGTAACAGGGTTTGCAATTCAAATGAGTACAATAAATTATGGACCTGGCAGAACAATACATAATGCAGCTATTGAAAAGAGCTGTTTTTGTGATACAAACTGGGAACCTGTTGACAAGTAGTGAAGGATTATGGAACAAATGGTGTGGTAGTATAAGGATTGCATTTGAATATGCAGTTTTCTTTTTCCTCAGTATGGTTAATGCATAATGATTTTGCTACTTCTGTTTGGATTTTCGTGCACCATTTGTCTTTTTTGTAAAATCAAAACAAATCTGATTCAACAAAAATTTCCAACCACTTTTATTGTTCTTGCCCTGCTAACTGTGTGTAAAAGTAAAATTGGAAGTCCAACAAAACATTAGATAGACTGCTCATTATTTGATATTCAATCTGTTATAGACACACAATTGGGAAAAGGAGAAAACGCAAGCCATTCTTGTGTTCTGAAAGGCCTGGATATTCTAGTCTCACATTAGGACCTGCAAAGATGGCTAGAAGTTATCAATACAATCTATGATGGCAACAGGGCACTTTCCCTTTAGAGTCACATATACAGATCAATATTAAAACTTACGATTTGTTTGAACACAACTGGTAATTGCAGTGGGATTCTTTGAGTTATTTAAGTCATTTTAAGTTGTTTCAGCTAGGGAATTAAATGAGAAAACTGTTATTGAATAACCTGAAAGTTGTTTTAAATATCTGCCTATTGGCCTTAGTTTTTATCTCTTTTACTTCCAGATTTGCTTGATGATGCTTGAGTAGATGTGATAGAACAGGCTTAGGTTCTGCTGCTGTCGACAGCTGGCCACCTGTATTTCTTTTTTCTCCAGGTACATCAGACAGGTGCAGGCATGAATGACTTTGCTGTTCTCAGCACGGGGCGGAAGATGCCTCTAATTGGCCTGGGAACGTGGAAGAGTGATCCTGGAAAGGTGAGACTGTGTTCACTGACGTCTCTCTTACTGTCTGTTCCAGGTGTTTTCGACCTTTCAAGGCTGACTGTTCCTTTTTCAGGAAATCACACTCAATAAGTACTCTGCAGTTTACATTGAACCTAGACAGAAGAGTAGATGATTATCAGGAATGCCTTTATTAACTATTTACAGTCTGTATTTTAATTAGATCCCTGACACCAGGTATAGCATGTTATGAAAAGAGTGGCCAATCCATGTGATTGGGGATAGGACCTTGGTTTAGTGTCTCAATTTAAAAAAAATGGTTTCAAATTGGAAATATTTTTGCATACATGGCAAGAAGCAAAGGAAAGATTTTCAAACGTCAGTTTTAAAAGTTATGGACTGTTTATCTTGGCTTTGGAAGTTAAATAACAGCCTGGTGGCAGAGCAAATTGTATTGCAAAGCTAGGTGTGTCATTTAGAAGAAATACTGTTGTGAAACTGTTTAAATGAGCCTTCTCTCAGTTGTATCTGACAAAGAAGAGTGGATGTTTCTGCCAATAGCTGTAAAGAATAACATATGGTAATTAAATATTGTGGTGCCACAATAATACATGTCCTTCTTTAACAGTGGCATTGTTACATTATTAGGTTTAGAATTTTGTTACTGTTCTTTTCCAAATTTTCAAACAGTGTATTTCTGTGAAGAATTTTTGTTGTTCTTAGTGATTCTGTTGCTTGGTGTGCTTTGCATTTGTTTGTCATTTTTACCTTTTTTTAATTTCCGGCAAGGTTTGTTTATCACTAAAGACTGTCCCTTCCACTTTCATCCCAGGCTGTATGGTGGCACTGGGCCTTTTGGTTTCGTTACCAAGGAAACCAGATGAAGTGCTGGATAAGAGACAGTGCAGACAAAAAACTCTCATTAAAATGGCAGATGTGGGTCACGTATCAAAGAGCTCTTTTCTGTCCTTTTTTTCCTCTTTTCTCACATGGACAAGCCCTGGTCTCTTCAGAAACTATTACACTACCACTTCACATTTTCCCTCTAGTTTGACTGTGTTTTTTTTTCATTGATCCTGCAGAGTATTCTCATATACTCTAAACAAAACTAAACAACAATTATCGGGGATATTTTTAAAGTCCCTAAAAACAAACCAGAGAAAATATAGAAGAGATTGGAAGTTCCTTATTTCTTTTAAGACGCAAAGCAGAGTTAACGTGCACAGAGATTTATTCATATCTGTACAGGGAAACAAGGAACCATGGCTCAATAATATATTCCACTCCCCTCTTTTATCAGATTTTTTTTGAAGTGCAGGAAATGACAAAGCAGTCTATGCATTGCTTTGTCATTGTGCTACAATAAAAATATTTCCCTGGATTTTCAAGTAAGCATGGATTTTATGAAAAAAAATACTACAAATCTGTAATAAGAAATGTCTAGACTTCAGCCGGATCTGTCTAGTCTCGTTGAGAAAGTTCTACTGTTACTGGGAGCTCTGTACCTGTTTATTGAGACTGTATTGGTGCTTCATGTTCACTAAACCTAGAAAACCTGTATTTCCACCATCAACAGTTGCAATTACACCAGGAAATCGCAGGAAAGGAAAACCATTCTCTGCCAACATAGTGAGAGCCAGATGCTTTTAATGTTGTCACTGCTAGGATAAAGAGAATGCTTTCAAAAGTATCTGACACCTGATGCATCCACTCTACTCAGTTACTAGTTGCAAAAGCTGGAGAAAATAGGTCTTTCTCTGTATTCATTGTGCTGTTATACGTTGTGGGTAGCAGCAAGTGATCTCTCTGTACCCACCTCCCACTGCTGGTTTTGTATTGCAGGTGAAGCAGGCTGTACAGTGGGCCCTTCAGGCTGGCTATCGTCACATTGACTGTGCTGCCATCTACGGCAACGAGTCCGAGATCGGCGAGGTTCTTCAGGAAATGCTAAAACCCGACAAGGTGGACTTTAACACCTTTAAAACCAAGTTACGAGGGGAAACCAGTAATTAACAAGAATTCGCCTTCTAGCTTTGTCCCTTCTGTCAGTTTGTAATTTTTGCTAGTAACATGATTTTAATGACCTCCATTGTTTTGTCTGTGTGCTTGGAACTATAGCTGAACATTTTAATGTCTTAACAGTGCAGAAATAACAGACATATTTTAGCCTCTTTTTCTTCTTCGTGAGATCCAGTGGTGAACTGAAACTGGACCCAGACAATCCATTCTGGTTAGCAATAGCAGACAGTCCAAAGTGTGCATTCTATTCTATTGGCTAGTTTAGAGCTTGCATTGTATATTGACCATTCTAGAGTGTGCATTCTACAGTATATCGGCCATTCCAGAGCCTGTATTCTGTATCGGCCATTCTCTAGCAGTGTGTTAGACATTCTATAGCGTGCATTCTGAAATGAGACTGGGCTTTACCTACATATATTGCAAGGGGAAGGGATAGGTGATAATTCTCAAAGTGCTGTGATGATGTCGCCAAGACATTACAGTGTATGCCTGTCTGAACAGGGCCTGCGGCGTGAGGACGTGTTTGTAACATCCAAGCTGTGGAACACATGCCACCACCCTGAGGATGTGGAGCCCGCGCTGCTGAAGACACTGCGGGATCTGCAACTGGAGTACCTGGACCTCTACCTCATCCACTGGCCATATGCCTTCCAGTAAGCTCCAGGCAGGGGTCAGCGGACATTGTTCAGAAAGAGTGCTGTGTACAGTCTAATAGAAACTCCAGTGCAATTATGCTTAGCTGAACGGCCAGTTCCAGGCTTGAACGAACTAGCCGTAAATTCAGGTGGACTATCAGGGATGGTGTACTTTTGATTCAATTTTCGCTAAAGGTTTTGAATACTAGTATCAGGCTTGCTGGCGTGCATGTTTCATGAATGAGCATGAGAAATGTTACATCCGTGATAAGGCCATCTAACTGGTTGGTAGTAACTAAGTGGTCCAAGGATCTCATGCAGCCTGTTCTTGAAGGAAGCCTGTGTATCATCTTGGACAAGGTGGCTGGAGAGCTTTGTGTAAAAAAAGCATTCTCAGTTTTAAGTGTGTTGGATTCAATACCTTCAAGGCCCTTGAAGATTTTGGATTCCAGGATCAGAAATACCCTTCTAGGTTTTCTTAGCCTGCCTATGAAGGACATTGCTTTAAGTCCATGGAGGTATCTGGTCCATCTTCTACGGACTGAAGAGAAGCAATATAGTTTGTAGTTTGTGTAATGCTCCTTGTTCAGGGTCTGTTGTGTGAGTAGCAGGGCTCTTACATAAATAGGTGCATATATACCGTATAAGGCTCTGATTGATCAACAACAAGAGCATGGAGGAAGGAGGTGAATGGAGAAACAGATGGAGTAATTCCCAGTGGCAGGCTGTGGACTTACTTGACTATTGAAGCTATGGGGTGTAGGTGCTGTTGCGTACAGTCTTCGCATTTTTGCTTCTAGATGATGCACAGAGATGACTTTTTGGATCCTTTATCAAGCACCAGAGGGTTTAAAATTTTTAGTAATTGTTCCCTAGTTTGTACTAAAGCCTTTGAAAGCTATAAAAAATTAGGGAGTCCTCACTGAAGAGAGGGCTGCACATCATGTCACACAGACGCTTGCTTGTTTGCATGTCATGTCCAGACCTGTCTGGGGCTGTCAGCTGCACGATCTGTGAGTTAGCAGGCGATGTTTGTGCGCCCTCACAGCAGGGCCCTCGTTAGCAGTCCTTCTTGGAGTTGCTAATCAAAGGCAGATTTCTCCAAGGACCATTTATTACACAGGAAGACCACCTTGAGGCTGCACAGAGCAAGGAAGGGGCATATAGCTTTTCCATTTCCCTGGGTTACAAATATTGCCTTTCCAGCAGTCAGTTCCAGGGTTTGCTCTAGGTGAAGTGTTCCCCTTCCCCTCAGGGTCTGATGGGTGCATTGAGCTGAAGGATGTATTGTACCATTGGCTGGTGCAGATATCTGATTGAGCCTGAGTGAGAAATTAAGTTTTTTTTCAGGTTTAAACAATCCTTGGCCCTAATTAAGATAAGATCACTTTATTAGCCATATACAATTTCTTGTATTAGGAATCTGTCTTTTCGCATACCCCAGCTTGCTCTCCATGAGACACACAGACAGGGAGAGAAGCTTGTCGTGGTTTACTGATTTAGTTTGTGAAAAGGGCCATTACAGTTTTAGTTTTCTGGAATAAATATAATACGAAACACTAACAACTCTATTATTAATTTTATTATTTTAGGTGGAAATTATATCAGAGCTGTGCTGGTTTTCTTTGCAAACCTGTCTTGTATAGCAAACTGGAGAGGCAGCTCTAGTCTAGAGTAGTGTGTCCTGTGAGGTTTAAAGAGATTTTTCAGCTTGCATCTGATTGAGACCTGGAAAATAGCTGATTTGAACACTTTCTGTTCACTTTAGCGGTTCAGTTAAGTTATTAATGTCTGAGATCAAGTGCAAACCTGAAACAAATGTGACACAGGAACCTCTCCTCCATCTTCGTTTGCTCACAGAGCACCGTGGCCTGACCTGGCAAGACCTGCGTCTGGCCGGGCAGGGGGCTGGCCAGACCCCCGCTGCCCTGTAGGGGGGATGGAAGATGAATTCTTCCGGGGGAGCGTCTAGCTTGCTCAGCGTGTTGGAAGCGCTGAGCGGCTCCGTGTGTTAACCCCGCTTTGTCTCGGCGGTTGGTCCGCAGGCGAGGCGGGGCGCCCTTCCCGAAGAAGGAGGATGGCTCGCTGCTGTACGACGACATCGACTACAAGGAGACGTGGGCGGCCATGGAGCGGCTGGTGGGCAAGGGGCTGGTGCGGGCCATCGGCCTCTCCAACTTCAACCGGCGGCAGATTGACGACGTGCTCAGCGTGGCCAGCGTCAAGCCCGCTGTGCTACAGGTGGGGTGTAGGGGAGCGCGGCGGTAAACGCACACTGTTAGCACAGAGGAGCAGCAGTTGTGCAATAATTCACTTAATATTAAACCAATGCAAACTTGTAAAGGCCTCAATGAGAGAAGGAGGGAGGTGTGATCCTAGTTTCAGGATAATTTTGGTTTTGGGTGTCTTTCTGCAGTAGGAGTTCTGAAACCCCCCTGTAAGGACACAGACGGAGAGATCAGTGTGATCATGGCTGTTAGAGGAGGTGAAATGAGAAACCTTGGGCTTGGAGAGATCTTTGATCCTCACAGCCCTGACATGTTCCCTGAAACGGCCTCTAGTCTTCTTCCTGTTTCACCAACATAGATAGCTGGGCATTTCCTGCAAGAGATGCAGTAAATAAGGTTGCTGGAGGTACAAGATGTCATCTGGGTAATCTGGAATTGTCCAGAGGGGACTTGAATGAGCGTGGTATTGGGTATATATTTACAGGTGATGCAGCAAGTTCTGTTGGAGGAGAAAGTGCCAGGTGTGGATGATTGCTGAGGGCGGTCAAGGGAGCTGTGAACAAGAAGTTTACACACCTTAGGTGGTCTTTTCTCCCTCACACCTGAAAAAGGCTCCACAGCTAAAATGTGTCTCTTTTCTTTTCAGCATGGAATAAACTTGTATTTGTTCTTTTGAAAACTGGAGAGGCTGCTCGGCTATCTGTTTGCAGCTGCATGCTGACAGTTCCCTACTCGAACAGATGCAGATATATTTAAGCTGCCCTAGTTCACCCTGCTGTATTCACAGTAATGCTCTTTATTTTACGCAGCACATACGGGTATATTCTTCTTATGTCTGTGGTGCGTGCAGGTGGAGTGCCACCCCTACCTGGCGCAGTCGGAGCTCCTGGCGCACTGCCGTGCCCGGGGGCTGGTGGTGACGGCGTACAGCCCGCTGGGCTCCCCGGACCGTGCCTGGAAACACCCGGATGAGCCGGTGTTGCTGGAGGAGGCTTCCATTGCTGCGCTGGCACAGAAATACAACAAGTCCCCTGCTCAAATCATCCTCAGGTAGGTGCCGTGTCTCTCACTGGACTCGGGTGGGAGAACAGCTGGCTTCCCTTCTCCTCTCCTCTGTCACAGGGGTCATCCGAGTTGAGTTTCTGCAGCTGAAGCATGGGTATACACTAATCCATCGCTATACGAGTTCTCCTTTCCATGAGAAGTAGTAACTCCTACCCGCTTCTTCATTTAAATAGCAGATTTTCACTCGTCCCAAGCTGGGCTCTCGTAAAAGTATTGCCGCGATTCTTGTTTTCTCCCATCTTCCAGGACGAAGAATTTACTTTTTATTTTTTTATTACCTTTTGACTTTATGGTATAATAAAGGCTTGTTTGTGTTAAGTGCATATAGTAAGGCTAGAACCTAATGTTTATGTCTTTGCTAATGACTGTTACAAAGTAACTACAATACTTTACCATAACAGAGCAGGAACGTTATTGTTTGTGCATCAGCCAGTGCCTTTCGGTATGTTACTCGAATAATTAGCCAGGAATGTTAATGTTTTCATATGGTGATACCATTCTGTGCTGTCTTAAGGTAAAGGTGTAAATGTTTTTCTCCAGAGCTCAAAAATGTTCCTTCAGATAAGAATTATAACATAGGAATTCAATTTCCATTATGTGATCTTTCACTTTATGAGCAGTTTTCGAGGAACGAATTATAAAGAGAGATTGCTGTATGTCTCCGTTTTTTGGAGTTGGCCCAATGGAGAGAGCTTGGTGCTACCTGTAGGCTGGGTCTATTTACAGGTGTCTCTCTCCCTGCCTAGGTGGCAGACCCAGCGCGGTGTGGTGACCATTCCCAAAAGCGTGACTGAGTCCCGGATAAAAGAAAACATCCAGGTGAGGACTGGCTCCAGGCGATAACTGAACACTCCCTCTCTGGGGCACCTTCTTTCTTGTTCTCAGCCTAGAGGTGCCTACACTCCAGTTCGTAGCTAGTGATCCACAGGGCAGTTGGTGCCACTTCATATCATATACCTTATTTCAACCCAGTTCTGTGTTATGCAAACACCCAGTAATCACCAGTCTTTTATGTTGTTTCTTTATCAGATTCAAGGCGGAACTTATTTTATTTATATATTATTTACTTAATAAATAATAATCACTGAGTTGTGTTGCCACCATTCTTGAAATCATAAAACATTGTTAAAAAAGTAGTGGAAATGTAATGCCTCGGATTATCCAGTGTATTCAATGGGGTGTAAAACAGGCCTCCCTGTGTGTCTGCAGGTGTTTGACTTCACTCTCGAGCCAGAGGAAATGAAAAGTATAACGGCGCTGAACAGGGGTTGGCGCTACATTGTTCCCACCATTACAGTGAGTGGCCCCTCCATGGGACATCCCCTGACAAACCCCGGCACCGTAGTAGTTCTTATGCTACAGTCTTTTGGAAACAGTCTTTTGCAAATTTACTTTGTTGTGGAAAGAGCTGCACAGCAGCATTCTATTACAGTAAACATCATAGAGTTCTTAGCAGGATGGATAGTGTTATGTTTTGTGAACAGAGGACATAGGAAGAGGTATGTTTACCTGCACCAGTTATTTAAATGTGTTTTATGATTTTTTTTATTTTCTTGTGGCTGCTTTGTTAGCCCATAACTAGTATTTTGTGTTGTCTTTTCACTTTTAATTGTTTCAATCTGCATTCAATTCTCTCTGGAAGGAGGATAGTGGCACAGTGGCCTGACAGCACTCCAGGTTCCATTCCAGGCTGAGGTGTCTTCTTTGTGGGGTTTGTGCCATGCCCACATGGGGTTTCTCCAGGCACTCTATGTTCCTCAGAAAGAAACTGGCTGGGTTAACGGTGTCTCTAAATTGTGCTAGTGTGTGTAAATCCTGCAGTAGAGGGGTCCTGTGCAGGGTGTAGCCCCGACCTGAGTCCTGTGTTTCCAGGTTTGTATCTGGGTTTCTGAGATCCTCACCAGGAATAAGTGACTTTCTGATAATGGATGGATAGATGGTGTCAATGAAGGAATTCAATAAAAATTCAAATAAGTACTGTTACTTTTGTAACATGCATCTGTTTTTACCTAACAGTTATTCTATTTCTTTAGAAACAGTGTAGCTAATAACAGCTGTAATTTTTTTTTTTTTACATTATGCCTCTGTGTTTTACTGTATTTCTTGTACAATATGTAATCATCTTTTCCAATACAGTTTGACTATGCTGGACACTTTCATTTCAGCTTACACTATATTGTTTAGAACTAGTCAGTCCTTACCTTTGATGTGAAATACGAGAAAAAAATATTTTTTCTATGAAGAGTATTAATGAAAGTGCTGCCCTCTCCTGGCTTTTATTTGTATCTGTAGGTTTGTAACTTTTTGTATAGATTTGTATTCACTATACCTGTGTTGTTGTTTTTTTTTAACATTATTCTTTGCGATTACTTGTGTTTATGCCACATTTAGAAAAATACAGTAGTTTGACTGCATTTATGCCCGGAATTCATCAAGTGTTTGGGGAAAAACAGCCCAGTTATCAATCATGAATTTGAGATGGAAGTTGTTCACAAAAAAGATTCGTAGCTCAACGGTGAAACTAGCAGAAATCGTCTTGCTGTGTTGTTTAAGATGATGAAACTCATATGTGTCATGGGTTCTGCCGGCAGGTTGATGAGAAGCCGGTTCCCAGGGATGCAGGACACCCTCATTATCCTTTCGGTGACCCCTACTGACCCCTCCAGGCCACCACCCACATCGTGCCTCTGGACTTCCTCTCCTCTGACACTCCTTCCTGCCCTGCTCCTGCCCGTCTCGGAATAAAGGCCACTTTTATTAATGTAGTGCGTTTTGCCTCCTTCCTGCTTGTCTTTATTGTCTCAGCACTCCCCGTGGAATTTGCATGTTTAGTGGGGACAGCACATGAAATAAACATGATTGTTATACACCTTGGTATGATGCTTTTTTTTGCCACAATAAAAGTATTTTACGTGTCCTAGAATTTTGCTCTGTAAAGCAGTCTGGGTTTTTATAAGCTGCGATGTTTTGAACAAAGGAGATAGGTGCTCCTGCCCAGTCCCCAGAAACTGAGGGAAACTTAGTGGTTTGCAAAAGTCAGAACCCTTTCATGGTGGTTCTGTGCTGAGAGTGCTTCCATGACCCTGTTTACCTGATGATCAGATCTCATTCTTTACACATTTCATTTTAACAAAGTATGGAAGTGAATTTCACATTTGAGACAGGAGTCTTAATTGACAGTGATTTCTTAGAGGTTCTCAAGTAAAGGGGAAGAGGATCCTCCACTTTAATCTGTTCAATTATGTTGTTTCACTGCATATTTTCTTAGAAAACTCTTTCTCAGCTGTGTAGAAAACTTGGAACCCATTGATGGTTTAATGATGTTGGCTGAGTGGTCTTAATTGCTCAATCAAGCATGGGTTCAAATCGTGCTCCCAACTTTCTGACAGTTCAGTGTGTGTTCTCATCTGTGATTCTAAAATTCAGAACAGGATGGACATCCTAGTCATGTTGCTCTCAGCACCTGTCTTTTTTCAAGATACAGATTGGTAAAACCCTTTGATCAATTGACTAATAACTGACTAGATAAACAAATGGCCTCCTCTTGTTTGTAGCCATGCTTATGTTCTTCATTACATGACTAAATATTAAACTCTGTTATGGGACTGTGTGCTGATAGTTCAAGGATGTTACTTTTAAGGCAAAAGGTTGCATCATTTCATAAAACATGACTTTTTAAATAATTCCACTGTATTGCATGAGGGTTGCAAGGTTGTGTACCGGTTAGATACTTCACAGCACTGGGGACCAGGGTTCAGTTTCTGGAGTGCTATCTGTGTGGAGTTTGCCTGTTCCACCCGTTTCCTCTGGGTGTTCCAGGTTCTTCCCAGAGGCCAGAGACATACTGGTAGATTACTTGGCTCCCACTGTGTGTGTGGGTATTTGTGTGAATATGTTCCATATGAAAGGCAGTCGTGGATTAGTAAAATCATAACTCGGACTTTATATCGTTAATAGTCTACGTAGGGAGCACATTTTGATCCAGTTCAACAAAGACAGAGGAATCGTGTATTTTAGACATGTATGTTACCTGAATAGAAATCACAAGACGTTTACACGTTTACAAAGAGAGGATAAAACTACAATAGCCACTAGAAATAAGTTCTGGAAGTAAAAAAAAAACAAAACATTTTACTGCGGATGTACAGAGATTAACCACATTTTAAAAATCTCACCCAGCCAAGCACTTCTCTAGTCTTAGATAATGCTAAAATCCGTTACGCTTAATGACTGAGTTATTTTTCTCTATATTAAATCACCAGTGTAGATTAATTCTTTAAAATATTTAACTAAAATGTATGTCATGATTTTTACAACCTATTTTATGCCAATTTTACGCTTCAAACGACGCGTATATAAGCGTAAGAATGAACAAAATGAATTTATTTTCACTAGCGAGCAACAATCCACATTTCAGTTCCTTTAATGTTGTGCTGCCCCTTTAATTTTTCTCCCGCGTTTTTTCCTTTTCAGCGAGCAGGTTAAAGTTCAGCGGAAGTGAGGGTTTCTGTATTTAAAGGCGCCAACCAAAAAAAGCGGAGGGACAGAGAGACAAAACTGCCATCTTTTTACGGCAAGCACTACTGTATATATTTCAGTTTGGTATTTAATATTTAAGAACAAGTACTTTTTGCGGTACATTTTTATCCGTGCAATTATGCCAGAAGAAACGCCCGTTCCTTCGACCACGGAAAGGTGAGCCCTTCTTGTTTTTACCGGGAAGGCTTGCAGAGGAACAGTTTTTAGCAAAAGCCAAAAATGAAGCCCGCATTGTAGCTCTGTAGCGAAAGACGTAGTTTTTCTTTCCAGGGCTCAGCTGTTCTCATTATGGCCGTGGTCTGCTTAGCAACTGGGGGGAGTGGGGGTGGAACAGCGTTAGAAAATGGAACTGTTTTTTTTTCCAAGGAAGGGATTTATAAATTTAGGGTGTTTTGTAGCATTTGTTATCTGTTGTGGTTCCGGCAGGCAGTAAGCGTACCTGTGTGTTTGTTCCCGAGAGTTTGAAGCCGCGCGGCGCCTCTTGGCGGGCGCGCGGTGGAGCTGCTGGGTAGGATCGCGCGGCTGCCTGTCTCCCGCCCCGGGCTGCACAAAGCCGAATTTACGTAGGTCCTACTTTCTTAGTCAGCTAAGCACTTTATTTTGTCTTCCCTGGTTTTATTGCGAAAAAACGTCAGTCTCGGAAGGCTTAGTAGTCTTCGATTTGTTTCACAGAGCACCCATTTTCATCCTCTCAGTTTAAAACTCGTGGAATGCCTGATAATAGATATTTGATCTGTTTGTGTTTGGGCTTCTTTTGGATGCATACTGGTCACTTACATCCCCTTACTACAGAAACTAGAGAGTTCTGTAGTAATTAGGCTTGTGTTCACTTTTAATCGGTATTTGGAAAGCCTTATGTTTTCAAGTTCAACTTCTGTCCCATATCATTTTGCAATCGGTTAATTAGGCTTCGTGGGTGCTTCACTTATGAGAATTTGAAGAAGAGACGCGAGTCTGTCCGAGTGTACAGGCACTTCAGTACAGTAATCGCGTTTATTTTTACATTTTAGAATGGAGGAAGGTCCGTCTGCTTCGTCTAGCGCTCCAGACAGGTAAGACTGCGAAACCGGTACTACAGCCCCATCAGCTTTCATGTTTCTGTATTAGCTGTGAAGTTGTCTTTGGGGGATAAAGGATGAAGAGAAAAGGGACTGTTCGTCTTTTGGGAACCTACATCTCGTTACTTTGCTTGCATTTCGGGGGCTGTCGGGGCAGACCTCTGTCCTGCAGAAACACTGAACCACTTGAAAGAAACCGGCTGAGGCGCTTTTCTTCCGCGACCGGAGTTTGTCAACATGACTCCCCAGTTATAACTCCGGCGCCTTTCCCAAACTATACGTATGTGTGTGCGTACGATCTCTGATTCAGGGAATTTCCCTGTGCTGTTTAAAGAATTCATCGGTCAGGAATGGCAGAAGTAAATTGTCGGGGTCGAACAGGCTTAAAGCCGTCAAGGTAAATTCGTTTTTATAACGGTTTGCTGAACCACTCGTGTAAGCAGCGCGTTGGATGTGCCGTACTCTACACTCCTGTTTAACTCGTCAGCATGGTGGATAACGGTAGTGCACAATCGCTGTCCCTGCTGAATAGCTCTTAAGGCTTGTTGGGGGAACGTCGAGCAGTTCTGATCTGGCGAACCTTGTCCTTTTCACAGCCCCGGCGGTGACGTCATGGAGGAGGCCAAGAAGCTGATTGGCACGGGGAACAGGCACTTGGTGATGGGGGACGTGGTGTCCGCAGTGAATGCCTTCCAGGAAGCCTGTGCCATGCTGTGAGTACCCAGGAGGATCTCCTCATCCCTACGCAGCAGGGCTGTGAGACCGACTCGCATGCCTAACTGCCCCTGAGCTTGGGGAGTAGACGGGGCTGTTATGGACAGCTTTAAGGTCCACTGTAACTTGTTGTAACTGAACATACAATGAATTTGATCCCTTTATAGCTGATAAACATGACATCTGCAGTTTTTGACCACTTCACTGCTGTTGGTCATCTTGTTCAATAAGGTTTCCTTCCTGATCCATTGAGCTTTGAAAATGATCTAGACCGTTTTGAACCCATTTCTTATATTGCCTGCTGTGTAAGAACATTCACCCAACACAACCCTGCTGTAAGTTCTACGTAGACACCCCGAGAAGCTGTGCTTGTGTATTAATGACTTTTTTTTCCTCTTTTATAGAGGAAAGAAGTATGGGGACACTGCTGACGAGTGTGCAGAAGCGTTCTTCCTCTGTGGGAAGTCTTTGATAGAATTGGCCAGGTAAGCAGATTTTTTTTGCCTTTTTTTCCCCCCCTACTGTTTGAATAATATACCAAGGGTTTCATTCTGTTCTTGGTATCTGGTGACTTTACAAGTGCTCTTGACCCTAAGTCTTTGCTGCTTTTGTAATAGTGTGCACCTGCAAAATGTTTTTCACTTACTCATAAATGTGAGTTAATTAAGCGAAAGCATCTCATTCAGAAGGGTATTTCAGCAACTGTTGAATTAACCCCAGAGCTGGTTTGACACGGATGTGGGTACCGCTGTGACGACTGCTTCTAAAAATCCTGATTAAATGAGCTCCAGTGGGGACTTGGACAGTAATTCAGCTGTTCAACTAACTTTAACATTGATGGTCCTTTCAGCTTTATCGAGCATCACATGATGTTCCTGTTGATCGCAATTGCTTTATAGTCGAGGTCGGCAATCTTTTAGAAAGGGCATACCAGGAGGTAGCTCATGCACTTGTTCTTATGGCTTTGCATGTCTTTAATACTTTTTTTAATGGCCTTCCATACATTTTAGAATAATAAAAATAAGTACACAATTTAATGTGCACATATAAGAATCTAGTGTGATGCCTTGAGTATGCACTGTCCTTCTCCTGAAGCAGTGCTAAATGGTCTGTGTGTCAGGGTATGTTCAGCAAGAAGATAATTGAGTATTTTCACCACAGTGATCATCATTGAGCTCATTTGAATTGACATTTTTCTGATGAATAATACAATAAAACTTTAAGGGTTGGACAGTGTTTCACAATGATCTTTATGAATCCCTTCCATTTTCCAGCCATTGCAGGACAACTGTCAAGTCATCAGAAAATATTTTTTGATGTCGGTTTCTTTCCTCAATATGATGAGGCTTAGTTTAGTCTTCCCCTGTAGTTGTGCCCTGCATGGGTTTTAGTCAGAACATCTCTTCTGGAGATTACATTATTTATCAAGGACCGTTAACTCCTTTGTCCACACACTTCCACGAATACAACACTACTTTTACATCTTTTAATGCCTGACTATCTGTTTAACATCTTTGACCATTTCACATGCATGTCTCTTCACTGATCTAGCAGACCAGCAAGTTTGATAGGCTCTACCTCATCCTTGGAAGTGTTTGTCTGAAAGTCTTTGTGCACTTGATGTGTGACAGACCCATGCACTGGACAACTACAGTCAGGCATAGTTTTATCATTGTTTTTGTGGTTTATTAAAACACATGCTATTATAAGACCCCCGGGTGCTGATAAAGGCACTTGTGCTCCAGATTGCTTTAAAGTAGGACTTGGCATTGGAACTAGTATAATGGTCATGTGATGTGTGTGGCTTCAGGAGGCCTCTGAACTGTAGTGGTTGGGCTGCTCAGAACAGTGATGAATGACATAGAGTGTGCGTCACCTGCCCTTTCCGAACTGCTGTATTGCTTCACTGAAGCACATCAAGCTTCAGTGAAGCTGAGCAGTATCCATATTCCATTAGCGTGAAAGAGGCTGGACTGATGTGACTTTTGTGTTGCAGGATGGAGAATACAGTCCTGGGTAATGCCCTAGAGGGGGTCCCTGAAGAAGAGGTGGAAGAAGGGGAGAAAGCAGATGACTCAAAAGTTGAGAGTGTGGACAATGTTGATGGTGAGTGTGAGACTGGTGCAGATGGGCCTGGTTCTGGGTCTGAAGTAATCCTTCACTGTGCGCCACCTGCCCTCCATGCAGGACTGGATCAGTGAAGGGTACTGTGGCGGCTTTTTGGATAAAAAAAAACAGACATCCTCGTGGGCTTGAATTCAGATGTACAACGTAGGAGTCCTATTCCCTCAACAAATCTTAACTGCGCAGGTCTGACATCTTCTAATGACCGGCCTTGTGCTCTTCTGTTAATGGTGTCTTGGGGGTCCGATGTTGCAGACTTAATTCAGCTGTGACCTAAGCCAGATGTTTAAAAGCTCACCGATGCCACAGACCTTGACTTGTGCAGTGGGTTGTGTAATTCCTGGTTTTGTGCTCCCTGTCTCGTGGTTGTATAGAGAAAACGAGGGACGAGCTTCGAGAGCAGGTCTACGATGCTATGGCAGAAAAGGAAGATGCCAAAACGGAGAATGAGGAGAGCAAGAACAAGCCAGCGGATGGTGAGAAGACAGAAGGAGAAGCTGCCACTGTTTCCAAAGAGGGTCAGACTGAGAGTCCTGCCAAGGAAGCAGAAGAGGTTAAAACCAAGTCCCCTGAAAAGGGTGAGGAAGAGACCACGGCTACCCCAAAGAAACCTGGGGAGGAAGAGCCTGAGAAGAAGGCTGAAGAGAAGACATCGGAAGCGCAGGATGGGAAGGCGGTGGAAGAAAGCGCTGGAGGGAAAAAGGAAGAGCCCTCTGAAGTGGAAGAAGCCGAGGAGGAGATGGAGGAGGGTGAAGGTAAACGGAAGGGGGGGCACTGGTGCAGTTGGGCACAGCAGGAACCGACCACCTGGGAGAAGAACTGGGCGGCTGGGTTAAACTGGTCCTTAAAAACTGAAATGTGAGGGATAAGGAATTGCATGGAAATGACCACTTTCTCTATCCTTTAAGAATAAACCTCACTGTACACTTCTGAGGGGGTTTGTACTTTGAATATCTGTTATCTGTTATCTGTTATCTTCCTGCTTTTCAATCTTTCCTTAGTAGCTTCCTAATTTTAAGAGTTGTGACCTATGTACACTTGGAGGTTGGAAACCACAGTCTTCAGATGTGGTTCAGTGATTTTATGTATAGTTTACTAACTGCAGAAGGTTTTCCAGTACAGTTTGAGTGGATGTTCATTCTAGCAAGTTTAGATTAAGCTTAATGCCTTATTTAGCAATGTTAGCACTAAAATCCACAATTTTTAAACTAGTTTATCCATTTTAAACTGGACACTTTATTTACAAATTGTCTTCATTATTTTTACACATTTGAAGTGTCAAGTCCTGATGGTTTTTTTGCCTCAGATATGGTGCAAGTGCCATATCCTAATATTGTTAATTGTAGAGACGTTAAGCACTCAAATTCCCTAAAACAGTTTAGATGCATTCTTTAAAACAGACACTAGAGAGCTGTGAAATTCCCCTGTCATTTCAGGAGGTGAGGAGGAGGAAGATGATGATGATAACGATGGAGAAGGCACAGCAGAGGATAAGGTGAGTTGTCCAGTAGAATTTGCAGCCGCCTACCCCAATTCATTATAGATGGATACTTTATTGATCCTGTGAGGGAATTTGCAGTGCAACAGCAGCTTAACACAGCCACAGTGTAACAAATTATATAATAGTACAGTACATACAATATAATACAAGAGTTACTCACAGTCCGGACACGCAAAGAACAGACTAGAACAGAACAGTACACAGGAAAATTGTATCACACATATGAATATAAATATAGATGTAAATGTATTGCACAGGTCCCTGGCATATATTGCACAAAATACGGTTGTAAACGGGGAAAAGAAAAAGAAAGATCCACTACTCTGAAAGGTTTGTCTGTTTTTGAGCATCCCTCTGTTACTGACAGAAGTGGCTCTGTCTCCAAGGCTTTAAGTGAGGCTTGTCTTGTGACCCTTTCCATCCCTGCAGGACAGTGAAGAGGAGGAGGTTGGCAACCTGCAGCTGGCCTGGGAGATGTTGGAGGTTGCCAAGGTCATCTACAAAAGGTAAGTGAGGTGCAGATGAGTAACATGGGCTCACAGACTGTAGGCAACTCTTACTGTTCCAGATACTGTGATACTGTTGATTGACTTTGATGTATAAATCACCTTTTCTGGCACCTTATGGTGGAAAACTTATTTTTTAGAAATTTTAGAACACAAACATCCAGTGTGTTAAAACTTCTCTATGTAGTCTGTGTTTTAAAGTACAGCATTCCTCATGTGCCTGTTGTAATGAGAAATAGTTTGTAAATACTGTATGTACATTGTACATTGGCCCATCATGGTTGGAAACGGTGCTCATTCATCTTTTTCCATTTTGAAAGCATGGCTTTGTTGCTTCAGTAATTGCAGGTATAAACGCTTCGATATGATCTCCAATGGGTCTTCAGAGTTACCAGATTACTTGTCAACTGCAGTGAATGGCATTTAGGTTTGTTGGTTAAATTGTACATTTTGGATATGTGATGCCATATGTTTTGTTCCACAGAAAGGATAACAAAGATGATCAGTTGATGGCAGCCCAGGCACATCTGAAGCTGGGAGAAGTTAGTGTTGAATCAGGTATGTGCTGGGGATATTGCTGGTTCATGGAGTGTTATGGGTTCAGTTAAACAGTCTGTTGGTTGATGTGCAATGATATACTGGAAGTCTGTATTGGATGCATTTAGAAACATAAATACTGAATTGACAAAGCTGTATTTTATAAGAAGATGCATTTTAGTACAGTTCAGCTAACCTTAGTCAACTATTCTGTGGATTTCTGGAAAAATTGCAAAAGGAGGAAGTTTTCAGCTACTAGAATGTCCATATTTTAGTTAACTGTTGGAGAGGATTGAGGATAAGTTTGTGTGGTGTAATGTAAACTCGTTGTCATATCTATGTCCTCATAATTTTTGAGGAGCTCTGGGTATTTAGGTAGTGATGACTTTCTTCTGCAGGGAACTATGTCCAGGCACTGGAGGACTTTCAAGAGTGCTTGTCCATCCAGCTGAAGCACCTGCTGCCCCACAGCCGCCTGCTTGCGGAGACGCACTACCAGCTGGGACTCGCCTATGGTTATACCAACCAGTACGACCTCTCCATTCAGCACTTCACCAGCTCTGTCCAGGTCATTGAGAGCCGCCTGGGTAAGCCTTTTTTGACTCCTCAGGGACCCCAGAAACAAGCCTTTCACTACAAACTTGGAAATGTCTAAAATCAACACTTGTGCTCTGCATCTGCACTTTGTTTTAACGGCTGAACTACAGATAAGATCATTGTTTCAGGTTTTGTTTAAACTGTTGGAATTTCAATTTTTATCAGGGTCTTTCAGACAAAATGGCTTAATATTTATTGGTTAATTTTAACATGGTCTCAAACTTGGAAACCTCCAGAATTATTCATTGATTCTGCAAGGGGGATTTTTTTTTTAAGTGAGTAATTGGGAACATGATGTTCAGCAGGAATAATATTGGGTACTGGTACTCCGCACCCTCTCCCAAGCTTTGTTCTGATCTGTGTAACTGGTTGCTATGACTGTTGTATGTATTGGAGCTAGTGCTCTTTCCTCAAAATATGTAGAGGAAGAGGAGGATCCCAAGAGACCCATTTCTGAATAGGTAGCCCTCAGTCATGACCATGATGAAAACTGAACCAGTACATAAATGGTGTAAATGACCTAAAACTAGATGTAAATGCCAAAAATACTATTATTGGTCTGTGCGGTTCTCTTATCTGGCTTTATATGTGCAGCCATGCTTCAGGAGGCCATTGATAAGGCAGAAGGTGCGGGAAGCCCCACCGATCAGCAGAAAGAGATGGAAGAATTGAAACAGCTTCTGCCTGACATCAGGGAGAAGATAGAGGATGCCAAGGAAAGCCAGAAGACTGCTAGTGTGGCATCAGAAGCTATCCAGCAGACCCTGGTAGGTTTTAGGGTTATTTTAAAGATTAATGTATGAGGGAGTGGGGCAGGGGCATGATGCAGAAGCTAACTCTTCCTCTCCCAACACTAGTCTGGAAGCTCCTCATCTTCTGGATTTGTGGGAGAAAATGGAGGGCCCTCTGCATCCATAGTAAGTATCTAAAGAAATTATCCCAGTGTATTTAATGGCACTAGCCTCCAGAGCAAGATTACTTCGTGCATCATAAGATTTAGTAAGGAATAAAATTGGTATCCCTGTTGAGTTTAACTTCAAAGTTCTTAAGATTTCTGTAATTGGACCCAGAGTGGACTGTATGTTGTGTGGTATATAAAACTTACAGGTAAATCTATACTTCAGTTTCCTCTAAAGGTTCTGCACTGTTTCACTTTCTCAGATCCCAGTGAAACCAGCTGATGGAGCCTCTTCTTCCAAGTCTGTCACAGACATCTCCCATCTGGTCAGGAAGAAGGTTTGTGTGTAGTTTGACTGACCTGTTGCCAGCATAGTGTTGCGGTAGTGCATGATGACAAACTGCAACTGGTGAAAGAACGGACCTGGAAATTCTTCACCTATGCTCTAACTTGTTGAGTTTACATTTTAGTATATAAAGAATCCTTTGCTGGTAGTGTTGCAGTGTGACAGTGAATGATGTTTAGGGGAATTTGGACCATGAATGTGAAGAGCAGTGTACACTGGTTATTTCTTCCAGGTGTCTATGGCTATAAATGTGAAGGTTGTGTTGTGGGATGTTAGATGCTGTGTCCTGATTACTTTTGTTTGCCAAGGTGTGGCAAGTTGTTTTGGCTTGACTGTGGCGATGTTGGCTTTAGGCGTACGTCTTGTCCACCCATAGGGAAACGGGCTTAATTAAACCAATTCTGTACTGCTTTGTCCTCCACAGAGGAAACCCGAGGAGGAGAGCCCGTTAAAGAACAGTGACGCTAAAAAGCCCAAACAGGAGACCGCAGTTAATGGCAGTGGAGACTGTGCCAGCAACGACAATGGAGTCGAGGAGAAAATGGAGCAGGATGAGGCGAGTGATAGGCTTGATGTTCATTCTCTGTAAGGATGGGGATTAGCTTGCTGTGTAACCTAAACCCTGCAGTGGATGTGGCTCTTGAAAAGAGGACTTTGAGGTGCCATTTCAGTGTGGAACAGGCTATGTTGATTGGGTAGGTTATGTGAGTGTTAAAATGGGTGGCTTTGGACTTTAAATTGGAAGGTTGTGACTTTCATTCAAGTGTATCCTCAGGGAAGTTCCTTTTACTCCAGTTGCTCTGCTCCACCCACTTGTATAAATGGGTTACTGGAATTGCTGGGTAGCCATGGGAAGTGGCCTAACTAAAAGCAGTCAAAGTATGCAATGGGCCTCTAGGCTAAAGTATGGGCTTCATCTCCCAAAATTGGTATTCATTACCTAGTGATTTTTTTTTTTTTTAAATAAGTATATCGCAAGGCCCTGAAGCCAGCTGGCAGAGGTTGTTGGAGCCGTCTTCTGGTCTGTGGTGTGGCTGGCCAGCACCGAGAGCCAGACAGTGGGCACTGAGCCTTTCTTTTCCCCTCAGCCTGTGAAGCCAGCGGCCCCAGTGGAGACGTCGGCGTGATGGAGCTTCCTGAAGATGGCAGTTCTCTCTCCCCACCAGCACGTCCACTCCCTCCTCCCCACCTTACAGCTGTGTGTCTTGTAAATAAAGTATTTTCAGTCCTTTTTTAACTTTCATTTTGTAAAACTGTAGGAAATTTCAATAAAGCGTATTTGCAAAACTACTTTTTATTGTAACTGGTCATTACAAAATGTTCAAGGTATTTGTGAATGGGTTTAATATGCAGATGTGGTAATACTTAATATTGGACACTAGTCCTTTATTTAATCCACTTAGTTGGATCAAAAATAACTTGATTTTGCAGTTTCTTGGTCCTTTATCATATTAATGGAAACGGGTTCCTGGGAGGTAGAAGGGCTGATGTAGGATCAGGGTTTGTCCATGGAGCTGGCTTAATCGCTGCTCTCTTCCTGCCCGAGATGAAGCCGCAGTGGACCAGTTTCTTTAGATCCAGTTTCCAGGGACTGGTAAATTAGCTACAAGGCAATTGTATAGAATGTTAATATTGATCAAACTGACAATTTCATAAGTGTCCAGCCATGTATATGCCCTTGCATTAGTCTGATACTCAAGTTTACAAATGAGTAAAGTAATTTAGTCTGCCAAGCACATATAGGTAAAGAGCTTTTGTAAATGGTGGGTTTTTTTTGTTAGCTGTGTGTTTTGTAATCCAATTTTCAGAAATGCACAACATGATAGTTGCAACTATTTGGAAAGCTACCTTCCTCTTCTACAGAGATTGGGAGTAGAACCCTTGAAGAGAATCCTGCCAGTGTTCTCTTGCTGAATGTGTGCTGCGGGCTCAGGATCAAGTCTGTGTGACTATGTTGGCGTGCTCACCTGTTTGAATCGGGCAGACAGCTGATGGGAGAACTGATCCCACAGGTACGCAGGAGGAATCAGCTGGGAGAGGGGTGCTTTGCTGGGCTGGGGACTATAGAAGTCTCTCTGAGCAGAGGGCAGCTGGGATAAGTTAGTGTCCTACAACAAAGGAAACCTTTTAATAGATTACACCTATACAAAAACTAGTGTATTCAACAGGAACAAGTAACAGTTTCCCATATACCAGTGGAGTGTACTGTGGCTTTCTAGAGTATAGCAAATGCAGTATGTTGTACTTAAAACTGTTTTTGCAGTAAGGAGTGGTTAATGTACACACCACAGAACTGGAACAAGTAGAAGTGAATATACATGCTGAAAATTTAAAAATTTTAGCTATGGACCTTGTGAGTTCCTTTTTATTTCTCAATGTGGCATTACATAGCATTCACTTCTTTTGCATGGCACACACTGATGCAACCCTACCCATTCAAACCAATCCTCGAAACTGCTCTAAACTGGGAAGAGTAGACTGAAGTATGATGCTCCATCCAGCAGGTTCTGAGTGGCCGTTTGCTGCTGTACCTTGTCGCCGCAGAGCGCCAGCTCCTCGTCTCTCCTTCCATCTGCGATCCGCACAAACACGGAAGCCCCCCTCAGCAGCTGCACCTGGAGGGGCCACAGACAGGTGTCTCACTGGACTGACTGCAGTGCTGCTGCCATGTTGGGCGAATTGCACTGATTGTTTGCAGCACAACTCCATTCAGATGATATTAAACAAGATTAAACACATTTCATTAGTTTTGTTGGAGAAAACTTTAAAATATCTCATCTTCACTGTTAGAGATATATAAGGGTAGGTCTTTTTGGTGTTATATCTTCATCCATCCATTTTCTAACTGCTTTTTCCAGTTAGCAGGGAAGCTGGAGCCTATTCTGACCAGCAACAGGTAGGATACACACACTTATACCAGTGAGTAGCCAGGTATCCTTCCAGTATATCCTTGGTTTGTGGAAGGAAACCCACACAAACACAGGGAGAAGATGAGATCCCTTCATTAGGAATTTGTCTTTTTGCATAGCCCATCTTGCTCTCCATGAGACCCACAGCCAGGGAGAGAAGCTTGGGGTCAGAGCACAGGGTCAGCCATTTATACAGTGCCCCTGGAGCAATTGGGGTTAGGGGCCTTGCTCAGGGGCCCAAAGGAGTAGGATTCCTCTGCAGGCCGAACGAACCGGCAACCTTCCAGCCACAGGCGCAGATCCTTAGCCACAGAGCCACCGCACCGCACAAACCCCACTCAGATAGCAGCCCAGGAATTAAACCCAGGGCCCCAGCGCTGCCAGGCAGCAATGTCATCCACTGCGCCACCATGCTGCCTGTCTTAGTGAGAGGATAAAGGACAAGAACAGCCCAATATGACAAGCTTGTTTTTCAAAAAAGCTATCCAATTTATCATTCAGAGTCGTGCATGAGCTAAGTCCTGATTACCTAACAGAGCGTTCTCAAAAACCCAGAGCAGAAAGCAACAGCAGTACAATTCAAGGAAATTAAATGAAATACCCCTGATGAAAACAATTATTATATTGAAGACCAACCTGATTCTTTTGTCTCAGGTCTTCAAGGATGCTGTGGCAGTCTCCCTGAGCCAGTGCTTTGAGCACATCCTGTGAGAAAAGAAAACAAAATCCTAAATATGCAGAAATCTCTTGAATGTGCTTTAGACATGACACGTTGCTTTTAATAGTTATGTATTATTAATTATATTAATTGTTTGAGTGGTAGGTATGTTTGTTTTTTTCAACGTTTTAACATGTAAGACACATGATTTCTGAGCCACAAAGTCATCTGAGCCCTGAGTGTCTTAGCAAGAAGAGGATATTAATTTTTAAATAAGTGCCAATGAATTCATTTTCCAGGCCTCTCCTCAATAAACTCTACGAAACTTATGATTTGCAGGGCCACACAGCCAGAATTTTATACCTGTATAGTGGCAACTCACAAGGTGAGGCGCCAGATAGGTTACAGGCAATCTCAAACTGTCCCTGCACCCATTCAGCCTCCTAGTCAATAAACCACCCGTTCTAACCTCAATAGAGTCATTGAGGGAAAATTTGAAGATGAGGCTCTCTGCACTTTTAGATACAATTTTATGTTGTTGCAGCTTTAGGTGACTGAGAAGTGTCTCTTAGATTTCAGATAAAGTTTGCAGCAGCATTGCAGTCACTGGTAACTGCAGAAAGGTGCCATTGATCAGAAACTGTAGACACTATTCTATTGCACAGATCTGTGCATCTTTGAAAAAGTGCTGTAGCTGCCAACCCATAGCCTTATGCAGTGGTCCAGTGGATTCTGCTGATTCACGTATTTTAACATTTCTACTTTTGTTTTAGACCAATATGGTCCTAACACGTATAAGTACAAGCGATACACTTGTCCCTTGTAGAAATCAGCTCACTTTCGCTGTTTTCTCATGAGTGTTGCGTTTGCAGTTGCCAAACTGTAGAGCAAGGTTTGGAAGACACTGTGATGTCAGATAGCCAGCAGGATTATTACCAGTCTACCAATCCCTGAGATACGAGAACCCACCCACAAATTTATCAACACTGGCACTGAAACAACAGGGAGCTTGAGAACAAATGAAAAGACAGGGAATGCCACCCTGCAATTCACATTTTCAATTAAGAACACTGTCATTGTAATGGATATGTGACATATTAAAACCACTGTACCTGTGCTCTACAGAACACCACTGATAACTAATAGGCACTGAGTTAATAACCTTAGTTCCAGCTCTACCCAATATCCTGACCTGTGATGGGGCGCCTTGGTAGAGTGGTATCTGATAGCGGTCAGTGTTGCAGTACCCCTGGGTAAAGACAGGCAGGGCTGCCCAGGCTTGGCCTCCCAGACTGTAGGTGAGGGTCTCACTCTGGACTTTCACAGACACCTCGTGCAGGTGGATAATCACTGTCAATTGTGGGTGGTGCCTCCTTCTGGGGAAACACTAGAGCACAGACAGGAAGTGAGAACATGAGCAGAGGTAATTACTGTATGAGCACTGGTTTCTCCTGGATTACCTCCATTATGTCAAAATAACTTTCCCCTTCCTCCCAACATCCTGAACAGTAAAGGAACAATTAACAGTTTATTCCATGCTGAAAGGAAAAGAAAAGAGACACAACAATTCGGCTGTGGACCCTTCTTCAGGAACCAATTAAATGAAGTGTGCGGCAGTAGATGACGGTTCAGTTTTTTGTTTCCTTTTCGACCTCTTCTTTTGTTTAAGTCATTGCTCTTTTTATCAACGGTTTCCCCTCCATTAATGTTAAACTGTATTACCTTAAACCCATCAAGCCACTGGGGGGCACTCTGGCCACTGTTAAAGTCCAGCTCCTGGAAAACAGCAGGTTTATCGTATTTTACCCACGATGCTCCACGGTAAAATGCGCCTGGGGGGGTGAAGGAGCAGAGCGCTAGTGTGAAGGCTGACCAGGGCAGGTTCAGCCCCCTGTCCAGTGACACCTAGGAAACAGCACAGGACACAGAGTGAGAGACTCTCACAGGACAAGTGTGGCATCACAGCCCTGAGCCAAACCCTATAGTCCTGCCTGGCTCCCACCACTCACTGCTGTGAAAAATCACTTGCACAAACAGAAATGAAAGGGATTTGGTTTTTCAGTTCTGTATAACGAAGTGTTGTGTTGAAGTGCTGAAGAATCATCCTAATGAGACAAGGCAGGGGGACGGGGGGACTCACCTTCACCCCAAAGGAGCTGAGATACCGTGACACCAAGCTCAGGTTAAAAGGCAAGGGTTTGCTGTCTATCATGCGGCTCAGTTTCTGTCTGATCCAACCATGGATCTCTGTATCAGACTTAAGTTCTGCTCCCTGACTCCCAGCAATGAGGAAGACAATCTCTCGGACCAGGACAACAGATCTGCGAAGGGGAAGGACAAAGGAGATCATACGGGTAGGAATAGAGACAGGGCTGGATTAGATAAGTAGAACAGGAAACTACTTAGGAAAGGCATACTGGAAAAGTATACAGACTACTGGATACTAAAGATCCATAATACCACGTACAAAGTCTCTCTGCAGTGGACTCTGCACGAAGTATTTTGGTACAAGGCTGAGTGTGCAAACTGAGACAGTGTTACTACTGGCACAACTGGCACTTTTCCCCTTATCAAATAAGATGCTAAGTCTCACCTGTTGCTCATGGCTGAGAGCAGGCAGGCCTCTCCCTGGCTTGGTTTGGCAGAATGGGAATAATACCCCCCATCGGAGTACCCTGGCCGGGGCAGGAACAGCCCCAGTCTCTCCCAGTCTGCCTCGGGCACAGTACTGCGCATCAGGGTTTGTCCATTATTGTCCACGGGGGCTCTCACCAGACGCACCAGCAGAGTCGCACAGGGCACATACCTGCAAAGTGGATGTGTGCTGCATACAGGACTTTCCAGTGCACTTCATTTATTGCATTGCATGCATGCTGTGTCCCAGTCACACAAACTACTATGTGTTATATTATGTGTGTGCTTTGTATTGTCAAGACAAAGGAGAGTACTGAGTTATACAGTGTGTAGAACACAATACTCTCCTGTACAATGTTTTTATATATTAAGGTAACTGGAACATTTGTGAGACAATTTATCAAATCAATCAAATAAGTCAATGATCCTCGTCATACAGTACCTGCCCTGCGTACTCAGTGCGCTGGTGGACAGGGGCTTGTCGGGGTCAGGGCCATTGTGGTACAGTCTGAGCTGATGTCCCCCTTCATTTAATGAGATCTGCAGAGCAAAAGCTTTGCAAAATGTAGATCCATGACTGGAAAGCAGAGCTCTAGTTTATGAAAATCCTGTATAATATATAATTTAATCCAGGGTTTACATACACATGCTGTAAATCTCTTTTTGATTTTTTTTTATTGTATTCCTTATTTTCATGCTAAATAATCTCCAGCCCCAACAGCTGTCATGCATGCCATATACATGACGGATCTTTGTGTCTTTTTGTTCCACCAGGCTTAACAACGCGCAAGAGTGTTTATACGGTGTGTTGGGCTCTGGTTCTGTGTGTTGAAGTAAAAGTCACTATTACCTGCAGTCCTGCAGTATCCAGGTTAGGCTGAGTCTCACTGCCGGACTCCACAAAGAGACCCAGAGCAGCCCAGCCGATCAGTACCAACTTCAGGGTGAACCGGTCAACAGTATAGACCTGTGGAAACACGTGCGCAAAGCCTGAGCCCACCACACCCAGAGCACTCGCCCTGAGAACTGAGCGAGCTGGTCTGTTTTCATTATTCCCAGAAAAAAGTCTCTGCTTCAAAAAGACATTCAGGCATCCATCTGTACACCATCAAAAGAGGAAAAAAAATTGTGTGCCCAGCCCTGACAGACTAAACTGAAGAAGAACATGCTTCTCTTTCTTTCCTGGGAAATAAATGTCCAATTTTATGCAACACAGACCTCTCTGTTCTCTCTGTTCTTTGATCTGTTGTTCAACATTAATGTTTAGAGAGTGTCTTGAAATACATGCTTTAAAATCATGTGAATAATTACAAGGGACGATAGTCAATAAAGACTCTCTCATGACTCTCTGTCAGAGAAAGCTGACAACTGGCTGCGGTCATTCTGTGGACACTGATCATCACGGGTGATCAAGTACCATGGAGGCTCTCAGTCTCGGCCCTACCTTCAGTAAGAGAGTGGCCGAGGGGGGCAGGCTGGGGCTGCGAATTTCTACCCGTTCACCGTATACCGGTTCAAAGATGTTACTGTCTAGGTCAATCCCAGTGGAGATCTCAGGCCCCACTCTGCCAAAACAAAAGACCACACAGAAAGGGACCCCTTACACCATACAGTATTTCTACAATCAGTGCTGGAGATTGTGGGAGTTAGTAATAGTCAAGTTCACAGGTGATAGCAAAATAGGAACATCTTTAAACTCTGGAGAGGCAGCAAAGGAAATTCAAAATACAAACGTATTGCATGCTGTAGAAAAAACAGATATTACAATTCTGAGATGGAAAAACACCAAGCCTAAAGAAGCTATTTATGAGCAATGACTTGGAGTTTATGCTGACTCATCATTTTCATCTTTTGAATACTCCTAGGAAGCTGTAAGAAGGCCAACACAATTTTAGGATACAATTAAAATGTAGAATTTAAATCAAAGGGTGTTATGTTAAAATTGTACAATACATTAGCAAATCCTCATTTAGAATATTACATCATTTTGGTCACATTGTAACAAAAGAAGATACTGCTGTTCTGTGTGTGCAGCCCCACCTGGATGATACAACGGCAGCACATAGTGCGCCAGAACGCTCACCACACATCAGCTATCAGTGGGGAGGAGAGCAGACTAATGTAGCCAATTCATAGACGGGGATTATTAGGAGGCCATGATTGGTAAGGTACAATGGGAAATTTGGCCAGGACGTCGGCTGGGGTTACACCCCTACTTTTTTCGAGAAACGCCCTGGGAATTTTAATGACCACAGAGAGTCAGGACCTCGGTTTTACATCTCATCTGAAGGATGGGAAGATATAAAATTATAAAAAGCAGGATGACAGGTCAACAGATTAACAGTAGGTGATGTCAGAGTAGACTTACTGTGAAAGAGAGTTGACTTTACACACTGTCATTAAGGTGAAAACACATTATTCTCATTGTTTCTGGGGCCCCTACTTCAAAACCCCCATCATAGACAGGGAATATATTATACATGTAAGCAATCTGAAGGCAGCTCGTGTCTTGCATTCTGTTTTAAGAAGTATCCTATATACAGTACTGACAGAAAAGTTTCAGATATACCGTATACAGAACAGTGTTGAATTATGCAATGTTTGAAGTTGAAATGTTTTGGATTTGAACTTTTCAGTGCCCTACAGTCAATAGTTGCGCAGTTGGATTCCTATACATCACTGTAAGAAGGTAAGTCATAGAGGATCCCAGAGGCCTGTAAAGTATAGGTCATAGAACCCAGAACTGATATATATTAAGATGTTCACTTTGCTGCAGGAATTGCTTGAAACTGCGGGCATTTCTTCATTGTTTTTCTCGTGTTTGTGTAGAAGTCTCCCTGGCTGTGCTCTGGCAGGTGACTCACTGGTTGTAGTGGCGGTCGAAGATGCGGCCGGTCACTCTACTGATGGTCACGCCGTCGGGCAGGAAGCGAGCCCCGTCGAGGTACAGGTCCAGCCCATCCCCAGAAAGGAAGGGCCGCGCGGGAGGAAGCTCTCTCTTGCAGTTGATGTAAGCCACCTGGTGGGCAGAGCAGAGGTCCCTGAACAAACACCTAACACAGGGCGAACTGCAGCACCTGTCACTGTGCTGTAGCTGGGGAAATTGTAATAATAATAAAAATAACAATAATAATAATAATAGGAACAAGTAATAGGTTTATTTCATAATGATAAGAGAAGAGAGAAAACACAATGTTTCAGCTGTGAAGCCTTCTTCAGGTGTGAGAAAGACAGGGCTGACAGCAAAGGCAGGGGAGGCAGGAGGGGCAGAGAGGCCACTCGGGAAGTGCAAAGTGGAGAAGATTGAAGAAAGGTGTGAAGTCAAAACCTGCATGTGAATAGAGAAGATTACACGAAAATGTACCTGAACTATAATAATAATAGGCCAAAAAAGGCCATAGGAACAAGGTTAATTCCATGCTGAAAAGAGAAGAAAGGAAACACAACGTTTCGGCTGTGGAGCCTTCTTCAAATGTGGAATAATAAGGCCACGACTGGTAAAGGCCAGGGGGAATTGTGTCCAGGACGCCGGGGTAACACTCCTACTCTTTTCCGCACCCCAGAGAAACATTCTGGGATTTTTATTGACCACAGAGAGTCAGGGCCTTGGTTTCATCCGAAGGATGGCGCCTTTTTCTATCTGGTCATGTGCCGCCAGAACAAAGAAAAAAGCCTTTTCTCCCAAAACACAAAAACCTGGATGTTTTCAGAAAAAGTATGTCCTCACACCTCAGAGCAACTGAAAATTAGAAACTACATTCTGTGTTCATATTAAAAATACTTATGTAACTTGGGTGTGCTTATACATTCTGCATTTAAATACAGTATATGCCTTGTGTCCTTCTCCTGAAAAAGATATACAGTAGATGGTGACACATAAAGGTGTTCTGGTGTATAAATTAGCCTTGGAAATGCTTGTGTTCAGAGCACAGTAGGAAAAGACATGTTTGTATTCCTGCTTTGCTCTCTGGAGAGGCCTTCTGGCCTGCCAGTAATTTCCAGACTCAACTGAGCTGCGCTGCAGTGTCTTGCTGAGCTGACTCTGACCTGAGGCCAGTCCTGGGGGGCAAAGAGGTGGATGGGGGACTCGGGGGGGAAGGGAGACTGAGGTCGGTCTCCGCTGTAGATGTGCAGGCGAACTGACGTATCACCATAGGGCTCAAAGGGCTCTACAAGGCGTTCTGCGGGCTGCAAAACAGAGACATCGAGGTTACAACAGAGTCTGGAGACAGGGAGAACTTAAAAAGCCCCCAGCGACAGTGCTGACACACACACAGCATCCTCTACTGCCAACGCAGCATCAACCGATGGCCGACAAAAGACAAGGAAACTTTGCAGGTCAAGAGAAAGAAACATCTTCAATAATTACATGATCCAGAAAAAAGTTGGGAAGCTGGATTAATGAATTTTTAGTCCTTCCTAATTTGTACACTTTTTTCATAGTTTTCACACAAATCTAAGTGACACTTCTTGTGAAACGCTCACTATTTTTTTCCCCCAGTTATTGCTTGTTTGACCTCGGTACTGGAGTAATAGTAAATGAATTCTCTGTGTTGTGCTATGAGGCTGTACCAGTGCGTTGAGGGCGAGGGCCGGGGGTGCTGGCACATGGAAGAGGGGTACCGAGTGAGTGCCAGTGTTCCAGACCTCTTTCCCTCTTCCTGGACTCTTCTGCGCTGCCAGGGAGAGAGGGAGAGAGCACCAGACACTGAGACTGGGGAGATGGCAGGAGGAGCATCGGCTACACACACCC